TAATGTTTTATTTGTTGGATTGATTATATTTTTGGTCATTTTATTATATGATTTAATATTTATTTTTATTTTGGTGATAATTTAGTTAAGGCTTCAACTACTCTCCCTCGCCTGCATTTATTTGTTAATTACTATGTCGTTTGATTATTGATTCTATTGTGTTTATATTAGTAAATTTGGCATATTAGAAAAGAAAATAACTAAAAAAACCCTCTAACTATTATAAAACGACAATATTTGGAGGGTAAAGTAGGTTTTTGAAAAAAAAAATTAATTTTTTTTTTTTTGCCAATATGTTGGGTTGATCCACGAGTTGACAACCGCCAACTCGATGGGTTGGATGAGTGTTTTTTTTTTTCAAAATGACCTGTTGGGTCACCGGGTTGGCCTATGAAAGCCCAACCCTGCCCATTAGAGATATCCGGGTCGGGTAGAACCCAATCCACCCTTAAACACGATTGGATCAGTTTCAGGTTGAAACGTTGCGGGTTAGGGTTGACCCACCTGACCTTTTTTCCACCTCTAGATAAGATAAAAAACAGACGACGAATAACTGAAAAATGTACGCCCAGAGGAAGTTGGAAAATGGCGGGAATCTGTTACTTTGCTCAACCCAATCCAACCCTCCATCTCAAGGTAATCAAATGCTTTATCATTTCAATGGTATTGAATTCTCAATTCTAATTTGTTCGATCCATCACTGTCGTTTATTTTGCAGAGAGTTCATTGCGTCAAATGCTGCTCAGCCACACCTGCTAATGATCCCAATAACAGAACAAGAACCCCGCAGTTTTTGAAGTTGGCAGTAAGTGGAGTGACTGAGCTCCTCAGGCTGTTCTCCTCGTTTGACAAAGACAGGTAAGACATGTTATTTCTCTGTTTGGTTGCCGAGAAAGTGCTGGAAACCCAGTAGAAAGTTAATAAAAATTTTATAACTTGTGGCACTCTTTCTAATAATTTTGTATAATTAATGAATTATCTATTGGGTTGGGAGTGTTGTATTGTAGCAAAGCATTAGATAGAGGTGTTTGAAAAAGTGTAATTCCANCTTATAATTAATTAAATAATCATTTAACTATAATATAATGTTATAATTGATTAAGTAATCATTTAACTAGTAATGTATTAATGTTTATCAATATATCATATATAATTAATTAATTATTAATTTACTAAAGATATACTTAGAAGTTAGAACTTGATAATTGAAATAAATAACTAAATATTATATTATTATTCAATCAAATATATTATTTTATTTAAAAATAATTCTTTTAATAACATTAAAATACTTTTAATTGGTCCTAACTCTAATTATACACTTGATTAATCAAAACTTTAATATTAATACAGTAAAACCTCTATATAGTCATAATGGTGAGACTAACTAATTTTATTACTATAAAGAGGTTATAACTTAACAGAGGTGTAGTTACACAAATTTCTTATTTTATAATTCATGTTTTTATAGTACAGTGTTAGGATTTCAATTAATGTTTTAACAATATTAGGATTTCAATTCAGCACTTCAATTACTTATTTTTTAAACAAGATTGTGTCTTGAACCAATAAAGATAAGTGTCATTGATGGAATTGTAAATGCAATTACTGCATGGTCAAATTAATGTGAAGTCATAAACAATTGTCAATTGTTTTAAGCATTACAAAATTAGGACATCCGATGTCGATTAATTGCAAGTTACAAATAAAGTGGATAAGGAGAATCAAAAGAATCATAGTAGAATGGAGTGATCAGATTTGACAACTTTACTATACTAATCGAATGAATATTAATGTCTTCCTTAATTATCCAAATGAGCAATAAGTTACGTATAATGTATATTTTAACTGAAGAAGAAATCATTGTTACAATTAGATAAGAAGAGAAAGGAAATAATCATGAGAATGATAGTAGGGAAATACAAAAAGTTTCGTGCCAATAAGCTCTAAACATGCTTGAGAAGCTAAAAATATTTTGGTTTCAACAAGAAAATGTTCATGCTGGTAATGTACTCGCAAGCTAAGAGATATGGTAACAATTCTAAAACATAAATCATTCATCCAAACAACTTTAGATAAATATTTTATTTCATCTTAAATCTTTAATGTAAGGTAACATATTTTTTTTTTTTTTCAATATACAGGTAATTATTACTATGTGGAGGCAACTTTCCTTAAGACGGGAATTAAAAAAATTATAACTTATTACAATGTGGAGTTTATTCTTATTTATAACTATCCCAAATTGAAAATAAAATGTTTTATGACTATATAGAGTTTATTCTTATATAGAGTATCACTATAAAGAGGTTTTACTGTATATTATAATGTATTAAAGTTTTTTATATGGTGTAGTTTATATGTAATAAATGTAATTTAATATTTATTAATCTAGGTTATGTAAAACTTAAACTTTTCATTTTAATTTTTTTTATATGTGAAATTAACATAGATTCTTCACAGATATTTCAATTTAGGCAGGTTCCAAAACAGATTCTAAACACGGGTACCTGCTGCAGGCTCCAAGCCGAGTACCCATGCAGGTTCTTTTTTCCAGTTTCGGTTCCGATTCTGATTCCAGACTCTACTCGCAGGTTCGATTCTACCCGCTACATGTGCTCACCCTAATTATAGTTGATAAGAATCAACATGATATCAAATCTAAGTTGCCCATAAGTTTAAAACTAACAACTTAATAAGTAGGAGAGAAAAAGTTTTTATGAAGACAACTTTGGGTTTTCTACAGATTGGGAACAACTACGAGAGCAGCAATGTTGCTGATTGAACTTTTGTTCAGAGCAATTAAAACATGAATGTGTTTTCGTTCGGCATTCTAGACCAGAGATTTTATTAGGCTTTTCAAAGCATTGTTTGGGCCAAATGAGTGGATTTTGATGATCAATTGGGAGCAAGAATAGACATGATCACATTGAGTGTCATACAAGTAAAAATTGCTAAACTTGAACTGCAGCTTTTTGCAACAATTATAATACGTGCTACCTACCAGCTCCATGAACAACCAAAATAAAGCAGCAGGCACAAACACCAACCGACAATAACAGAGCAGCAAAAATACACAAACTGTGACATACTAGACATTGCAAAATTCAATATAACAAGAAACACCACCAAAAATAAGGTATCCAATAATTAAACAACCAATAATAGCAGCAAGAACAACACAATCAATAACTGAATTATCTGAAAAAAAAACAAAAAAAGTAGCTTACAAAACATAACCCAAAATTCCATATATCTAACATCAAATAAATTAACGTACTTATTCAAGAGATTAGTTTTACATAATAGCTCTTACAAATCATACTCACCAACACATTAATCCACACATAATTCACAAAACATTACCTCAAAAGGAAAATAGTAAACAAAGAGAGATCAAACAGTATCCTTCCCAGATGCAGACTCAGCGGTCTCAAAATCCCATCAAAAACATATTCCAATGTCCATCCCATTTGATAAAAAACTCAGTCTCTCATAATACTTGACTCTACGCACATCCCCACAGGTGTAATCAATAAATATATATCAATCATTTTCAAGCAAAATCAATACAAATTCATCACCCACCAAACAAACTTTCAGTCAAATCAATAAAATCTACTAATTCATTTCCAAGTAAATAAAAAAAAAAAAAAGGAAAAAATCAACCCATAACCGTCGCTCTAGGCCGAGGCCAAGGCAACCAGGCGTTCAGGCCAGGAGTGCCACCCCTTGCAAGGCCAAGGAGCAGCACCTGCCAGGCACAAGCCAGCGTGCCAGGCAAAGGTGCAAGAGGGCCTTAGCCCCTTGCGCAAGCCATGCGGTGGCCTGCCTTGCAGCGGCTCTTCCCAGGGATTAACACCCATTCCCACCAACATTCCAGATCTAAGTGTCTGTTTTGCAGGAAGGAGATGCTTGTCAAAGGTTTTAATTGTTTTATAATTATTTTATTTCTTTTTTTGTTGTTTTTAGGATAATAAAAAAAGTATTTATAAATAAAAAGTGGGTGGTTTTATATTTATTTAAATTTTCGGTAAATAAGGTATTTAGGCCTCTGTGTGGTCAGGAGCAATTTTCAGTAACATCTCACAAACGTGCAGGGAGTTTAAGGTTATTTTGATACGCAAGGGGGATTAAGGGGGATAGGATGACAAATCCAGTCAGAGGGTTAGAAAATAATCCCCCAAAAAATTCTCGTTTACTACACAAATGCAAGCAATATTATTTTGGAAAGACTCCAGTGTTTACTAAGCAACGTTCTCAAATTATTTCTTTGCTTTGTGTTACAGTTGATAAGAACTCAAACATGATATCAAATCTCAAGTTGCCCATAAGCTAAAAACTAACTATAGCTTAATAACTAGGAGGGAAAAGCGTGTTTTCTACAAATTGGACACAACCAAGGGAGCGGCAACTTTTGCTGATTGAACTTCTGCTTCAGAGCAATCAAAAAACCAAAAAATATGCAATGAAGAAGATATTAAGCTTGTATGTTTCTTTTGGCATTCTAAACCACGATGAAATTTGTTGGTGTGAGTGTGTGACTGCAAAAGGATTTTAGATTTTATTAGGCTTCTCGGGGCCATTGCAGAAGAGGAGCAGGGAGATACACATAAAGCATAGTTCTGGGGCAAAAGAGTGGATTTTGATGTTCAATTGGAGAGCACAGATACACAAATTTAGCTATTTTTTAAGGCAGTTTTTGCAACAATCAGTGCTACCTACCAGACTACCAGTTCCATAAACAACCAAATTAAACACTCTGCAACATATTATACAAAAAAATAGCAGCAAGCACAAACACGACTGCCCATAGTATTAGAGCAGCAAAAACTACAGAGAAGATATTTTGTCAATTTTATATGACAAGATCAAATTCACGACATTGCAAAGTCAATAATAATAGCAGCAAGAACAACACAATAAGCAACCACATAACAATAAGTAGCATTGCCAAATTATTTGAAAAAAAAAACTAGCTAAGAGGACCCAAGCCAAAATTCCATGTCTAACATCAAATAAAATTAAGATGCTTATTCAAAAGATAACTTTTTACATAACAGCTCTTACAAAATCATACTCACCAACACAATCCACACATAATTCACAAACAACATATTACCTCAGGTAGGCAAACAAAGAGATCAAACAGTTTCTTTCTCAACAGCAGACTTAGCAGTCTCAAGATCCTCATCAAAGAACATATCCCAATGTCCATCCCATTTGATAAAAAACTCAGTATCTTCATAATACTTGACTCTATGCACATCTCCAGCGGGTGTAAACAAGTAATCACCAACACTCAAATCAAACCTCTCCCCTTTACTCATATTCCACACGCTTTTTCTCCCTTCCATCACCACCAAATCGTGCCCAAACGTATGATGATGCGCCGGCTCCACACTCCCCGCCTTAAACCTCACTATAGCCGAGGTTGGACTCTCCCTCACAATCTTCATTGACCCTCCTGGAATCATCTCTATTGGATTCAGCTCCCTGTTTTTAACCAAACAACAAATGCTGCAAGAACCAGAGCTTTCTTTCTCTTCATCTTCTTTTCCTATCTTACTCATTTCAGCAACAGAGTTATCGAGAAAACATAAAACTTCGTCGTCCCACGGTTTGCTTTCTGACGCGGGACATGGCGCCTTAAAAGGGGTGTTAAGCCACGTATTGAGAATCTCAATGGCGGAGTCTTTGGAGGTGGACTTACCTGAGATGGCGAGAACGTTGGAGTTGTTGATGGAGCGAGCGTTTTGAGCATCGGAAGGTGTGAGACAAGTGGCAGCGAAGACTCCGGGGTATTTGTTAGCGAACATGCCGACGCCGACGCCGGTACCACAGGAGACAAGGCCCCGAGTTTCGGCGGATGAGGAGGAGACGCGGCGGCCGACCTCGGCGCCAATAGAGTAGTAGGAGGAGGTGCCGAGGTCTTCGACTTCAATGTTGATGGAGCGGAGGTGGGATACTAGAGCGTCCTTTAAGTCGGTGCCGAATGGATCGGCGCCAGCGATGATCTTGACAGGGCGGGGAGGGTTGGTGTTGGGTTCGGCCATGGTGGATTAGAGAGAGAGGAAAGTCGGGTGGCGGATGATTTAGATCAGTGCCTGAGTGTAACTGTGGATGAATCAAGACGGAAAAATAACTCATATTGATATTTCACCTGTACATAAGAGTCTATGTGATATTTTGTCACACTGCAAATATACAATTGCCAGGTGGGGGTTGATATGATATTTTACTGCTGATGAGTGATGATTGATGAGGAACTTTAAGAATATTTACCTATATAGCCCGATATAGGAGGTTAAATTTATATTTTTCATATATAAGGGTTTACGTGATACTTTACGACTACCATGGGATTTATATGATAATTTCTTCTATGAGGTGTTGTACCATATTTCGTAAGGTCCATAACAAGCGAAATTATTTTGAAACCCTCATAATAATGTGGGATTGCTACGGTATCCTATATCATGTGAGATTATCATAACCCCTTTTATTTGTATAAATGGCATCATGCCCCCCAAACGAAGGAGGCTACACTTACGTGGCAGAAACAAGAAAGCGTTGGCGAAGGATAAGATTAGAGGTGGAAAAGTGTCCCGAACCGATTGGGTTAGTGCAAATTATGGGTCGAGCCTAACCTAGCCTGCCAGTAATACCCAACCCACCTCTTTGTTCAAAAGGGTCAGTCCAGCCCAGCTCAGCTCATCAACCCTAATCCAACGGGTTTTTATGCAGGTTGAACCGGCAAAATATTACTTTTTAATTTTTCTTTTATGTCATTTTTTTAGTTAACTTTTCAAATATCAGTTCAATTCAATTAATATTTTTAATTAATTTAATTGAATTGATATTTTTTAACACACACATTGATTAAGTTTTAGATTAAAACATTTCCCTTTATAATTTCAAGGTTTACTTAAAAAAAAATTATTCTTTTCTCAATCACTTCAATTATTTTCCCTCTTTTAGAGAATTTAAGATTTCGTTATAGATTAAAAATATTTTTTTTGCTAATTTTTTCACATCTAGGATTAATATTTCTAATTTTATCTTTCTTTATGTAACTTCAATATCAACGAATTAATATTGATAACATCAAGAGTAGAACAATCAAGGATCGATTTCCTAACTTTACAAGTAACTAATTAAACATCCGTCGAAAATAGAACAATTGATGAAGTTTAACAATTACGAGTTTTTTAAAAGACTTTAAAATCAACTAGTTAATATAATAATATCAAGAGTATAATAGTCACACGTAGATTTCGTGACTTCAAAAGCAACTAATTAATGTCGTTAGAGGGTAGAACAACCCGAACAAGTCTAATAATTAAGTGTTTTTTAAAAGACTTTAAATCAGCTATATAATGTCGTTCACCGAAGTAGAACGCAATGACAAATCTTGAACACGTACATAAATTTGTTATCATATATTTTGTTTAAGTTTTAGGTTACAAATTTATCCAATAAAAGTGTATATATATATAAGGCATGTCAATCTCAAGCTTTTCAAGGATTTTTGTTAATAAGCACTTTGTTTATAAGTTAGTTTGACAAAGTAGATTACCACATTGTCCTTGTTTAATTTTAAAATTTCATAGTATACCCTTATTTAAGTAGTACCATTTTTAGTCATTTTATAATAAAATATACTTATAAGCCACATTTTATCAAACACGTCAACTACTTATCAGTCATTTATAAGTACTTTAACCAAACCAAATGTTTATAAACTAAAATTAGCTTATAAGCACTTGTTGCTTATAAGCTAATTTTCATAAGTTCAGACAAATACTCCCTAAGTGTTGACTATAGCACCAAGAGACAAAAGATAATCAAAGCATAAACCTTTTTTTTTTTATTTAGAGGGTGTTTGCCTAAAGCTCTAAAATTAAGCTGATCTGTTTATTTATAACTTTTTTGAGCTTATAAGCAAAAAAAAAAATAAGTTGGGGGGGAGGTACTTTTTTTTTTTTTTTTCTTATAAACATTTTACTTATAAGCTAGTTTGACTAAGTATATTACCACATTATCCTTGTTTAATTTTAAAATTCCATAGTATACCCTTGTTTAATGTAGTACCCTTTTTAGTCATTTTATAATAAAATGTACTTATAAGCCACATTTTACCAAACACGTCAACTACTTATCAGTCACTTATAAATACTTTAACCAAACACGTAATTGTTTAAAATTTCAAATTAGAAGCACTTGTTGCTTATAAGCTAATTTTCATAAGCTCAGACAAACACCCTTTTAATGTTTTATTTGTTGGATTGATTCTACTTTTGGTCATTTTATTATTTGATTTAATATTTATTTTTATTTTGGTGATAGTTTAGTTAAGGCTTCAACTACTCTCCCTCGCATGCATTTATTTGCTAATTACTATGTCGTTACTTTGATTATTGATTTTATTGTATTTATGTTAATAAATTTAGGGGACTAGAAAAAAAAAGATTGAAAAAGCCCTTTCAAACTATTATAAAACGACTATATTTGAAGGGTAAAATAGGTTTTTGAAAAAAAAATTAATTTTTTTTCGCCGACCTGCTTGTTGACAACCACCAACACGACAGGTTGAACGAGTTTTTAAAAAAAAAAATGACCTGCCGGGTTAGCCTATGAAGGCCCAACCCATCCGACGGGGGATACCGGGGCCGGGTAGAACCCAACCCACCCTTAAACAGGGCCGGATCGGTTTCAGGTTGAGACGTAGCTAACCCGGTCATTTTTTCCACCTCTTAGATAAGATCAAAAATAGACGACGAAAAACTGAAAAATGTACGCCCAGATGAAGTTGGAAAATGGCGGGAATCTGTTACTTTGCTCAACCCAATCCAACCCTCCATCTCAAGGTAATCAAATGTTTTATCATTTCAATGGTATTGAATTCTCAATTCTAATTTGTTCAATCCATCACTGTCGTTTATTTTGCAGAGAGTTCATTGCGTCAAATGCTGCTCAGCCACGCCGGATAATGATCCCAATAACAGAACAAGAACCCCGCAGTTTTTGAAGTTGGCAGTAAGTGGAGTGACTGAGCTCCTCAGGCTGTTCTCCTCGTTTGACAAAGACAGGTAAGACATGTTATTTCTCTGTTTGGCTGCCGAGAAAGTGCTGGAAACCCAATAGAAAGTTAATAAATTGTGGCACTCTTTCTAATAATTTTGTATAATTAATGAATTATCTATTGGGTTGGGAGTGTTGTATTGTAGCAAAGCATTAGATAGAGGTGTTTGAAAAAGTGTAATTTCAGAAAGCTTGATGAACTTTCAGAAATAGCATCTAAGTGCTTGTTCGATCTCTTTTAATTGTAACAGCAATATGTATGTTTTAAGTAGACGCTATTATATAGATAGCGATTTTACTTTCAGTTTGTTAAAAGCACTTTTTATGAATATGTTTGGCTGAGTCATGTGCTTTTATAAAAAAGCACTTCTTAATACTTGAGTAAAATTGATTTCTGAAAATATATCTATGAAGTGATTTTTCAAAACACTTTAAGTTCTTTTTTGGTCTGAAAAGTACATTTCAGAAGAGTGTTTAAATGCTTTCTTGAAAACATTTCATGCTTTTCTAATGAAAATCATTCAATTAAACTCCAAAAATAATGTAAAAATTTCCGTAACTGCTTTGTTGGTCTGAAAAGTGCAACTCAGAAGATTGTTTAAATGCTTTCTCAAAAATGTTACATGCTTTTCTAACGAAAATCATTCCAATTAAACACTAAAAATTCTTTTAAAACTTCCTTAACTATTTAAAAGTGCTTTTAATGGAGTAAGAAGTGCACAAACACAATATTAGTTTATAATGCTCATCTCTTGTTTCTTTTAAGTTTTGCAGATCAGATAGGGTGAATTATGGACAAAAAGAGGAGATTTCAATTTCGTGTATTGATGATGTAGTAACTACACTGAAGACTGATTATGAGAATGCTTATTTTGTTACAGGTACAATACAATGTTTCATTTTGTAAGTAATCTTTTTGTTACTCGTTTCATTATCTATTTCTTGGGTTAAGTGTACTGATGAAGATAAAAGAACTTTATGCATGTTAGGAAGGTCAGTGGAAGACCGTTCTTTAAGTTTAGTGTGAATATGTATATATATATTTTCCTAGATTAACTAATACATTTCTCTAATTCAATGGAAAGGGATTTTCACTTCTGAAATATATGATGAAGATTGTATATTTGAAGATCCGACTATTAGATTTCAAGGTATGATTTATTGGTTATATATATATAGTAACAACCTTTCTTTTCTGTCTTATAGAGCTTCCTTATTTATCATTATGGATGTTAAAAAAAATGAAATAAGGTTTTTGAAAGCATTTTGTTTGAACACATGACTAAGTTCGTATTATGTTTCTTACCTTCAACTGAGGGTTACTAAGCTCAATTTTTCTTTCCATCTGATTTTTTGTAGAGTAGTGCTCCGTTCTTTGTTGATGTTTGGGCTATTGTTGTGCTGTCATCTTTCCTTTTTACATTCGGTCATTCATATTTATATCATTATTTATCTTTGAATACTCTTCTGGTTTTGACTACTTCTACTCTACTTAAGCCCCTTTTGTGTGGTTCTATCCGGGCTTAATGGTTTTCAGCTTGAAACTGGAGTAGTTATTCTGATAAATATTTTACGGCAAACATGCAAGTATCATTCTAGGATTTCTTTTCTGTTGAAGGATTGCATGATGCTCCATATTTGAATTCGTTAAGCATGTATGCAGAATTGTTGATCTTTTGATGCAATCACTGTATCTAGGCGTGTTAACTGCTTCAATCTTTTATAGTTGTCTCTCATACCTTTTTGTAAGCCTTGCTCAAAAGGAAACTTGTGTCTTGCTGTCTACACTAGGTTTAGGGACAACCTTTCAGCAGCTCTCCTCGCATTCTCAGAGAGATAGTGTGAATCAGGAGTTGCTGATGTAAAACATATAGAATTAGTTTATTGTCTTTGTCTCAGTTTCATCTTATGTATCCTCTCCTTCATCTTTCAAAGTTAAGTTTAGGAAACATTTTAAACCTCTGTCCTTTCCTTCTCTTCCCTTCTTATTTCTTTTTATCTACAGACATTTACCAAAAGATTCCAATTTATGTAATTCAATGTGAGAAAGTCAGCTAATTGATGTGGTCTTTGGCTATTCAGGTACGGAGCTGTATTCACGCAACCTGAAATTACTTGTTCCTTTCTTTGAATTTCCTTCAATTGGATTGCAAAAGATTGAGAAGGTAATTGTTTCTACAAATGAAATGTGGTTTTAATTGACAAGAAACTAATTAAGCTTGTGGGTAGAATTATTCTAGGCACTTTCTTGGTGATTCTTCAATAAAATAATAATATAATTATGAGGCATCTACAAGGAAATGGAAGAGCTGGGCTTAAGGAACTTAGCTATAGAGCCCAGAGAATTAAATCGTATGCACATATGCCAAATGCAGACCTCGGTTTCTGATGCCGTTTCTACACTGTTGAAAATTATAATACTTGATATTTAGTGGTTACTATTCATAAAATTGCTATAGATTGCAATGGAGGTTTCCTCAATAGCTTTTCCTCTTTTGTGAGGAGATGACTTTAAAAATAAAAAAATGAATAAATAATGATAATAAGCACTGCAGCTTGTCTGCAAATTATAAAGAGATCAAAATCTCTTGATTGAAGCTATTAATGTGACTGCTTATGTACAACATCTTTGGAAGTGGTAATAGGCATATGCAGTGCTTGTTTTATATCTAGGAGACACATCTTAAAGCGTTTTGAGGACCTAAGTCAATGGTCTAGCCGTACAGCTGTAGCTTTCTTTTGAACAGTGGAGAATATTAACATGATCCAAGGTCACTAAAACCATTAAAATTGTATAGTTAAAAGCTTGGTCCATCCTTTATGCAGCATCTTTTATTATGTAATGTAGAGAAATTATGACTGCTTACTTGCAAGCTTGATTTTTGAGCGGCAAATCGCTGTCTTTTCTCTGGCTGCATAAGGGTTTAGGTTCTCCAAGATTTGATTGTCTTCAGGGGCCAAATTAAGTCCTTGACGTACTCATCCCTACTATATAAAAGCTCTATGCTATGAGTAACCGCATTTAGCTGTCTTTAGAAGGACAGCTTAAGAAGCAAACTGTGTCCTCTTGTAAATGCTGTTTGCTTTTTCGCCCCAAATTATCAGTGGAAAATTCCGTCTGAAAAATAGAATTGATATCAAAACATAACAGTGTGAGCTTTCCCTTGGTATAAAGCCTTCCATGAGCCAAATATCTATAGGTTGGACCTAGAACTGTAAGCCCCTTACATTTAAAGTTGAGTTAGCCTGGTTATGGGTTATCAACTGAAAGCTTCTTTTTTTCTTCTTCTTCTTCCTTTTTTTATTCCATTATTAGATGGCATTATTACCTATATTGATTGAATTCAGCAACATTTCTTATGCCCACTAATATGACTAAGTATGCAGGGTGCCAACTCTAATAATGATTTTGTTCTGGCGACATGGAAACTGAGGTGCTTAACTTGAATCCATCTTATCTGAAGTCATATTCTTTGCCACTGTGTGTTGAAAGAGTTGTTAGAATTATTTGACGATGCTGCTTGTTTCTTAAGGTAATATAACCACCACTTGCACACTGTTGAGGTTTGGGAAATATTAGTGAGGAACACCAATGTGGTGTGATTGCCTTGTATATATTAACCAATTGATATTCTTTGGTTGTCAAATCAGTGAAAATATATTGTATAACACTAGCCAACTCTCTCTCTCTCTACACACGCTTATCTAACTGGTTTTTTGGGATATTGGTCTCCCTCAAATTTTACTTTTAAAGAGATATTGAGGAGATGTATCTACTTGACATCTTTGGCTTGGTTCACTTGATATCTTTGGCTTGGTTCACCATAGAGGGGATATCAATGAGTAGTTGGGTACTCCATTATGATACGCATTAGGTCTATCTAAACTTGGCCTGAACACCATTGACTAAATTCGAACCTGTAGTGTGGCAAGGTGATGCAGAAAATATGTATTACACACCTTGCTACGGAACAAGGCCATGTCCCTACTCTATTTCTCTTTCTTGCGTATGTGATTTTTGGAAGGAGAGAAGGTAGGGAAGGGGTAAGAATATTAAGAATATTCTAATTTCTACTGCACTTATCATCCCATAAATGAAACTTTATCTTTGATCAAGGAATATGTGAAACTTTTTGCTGTTGCCTTTGGATCAATTAGTTAATCAACTGCAAGTATCCCTTGATTTGCAGAACCTACCTGAAACTTCCTTGGAGACCTCTCATTTCTATTGATGGAAACACTGTCTATGAATTAAATGATGAGCATAAAGTAAGAAAGGCCATCTCTTTCGCTATTGCTGTTTAGTAATTTGAACTTCTTATATTATGCTGTGAGAGCTTCTCTTTACAGTTTCTTTCCATTGTGCATTTGTCAGATTATTCGGCATGCTGAGAGTTGGAATGTTTCTGCACTAGAAGCAATTGCCCAGATATTCACTCCTAGTGATAGAAATTAACTAGTCCACAAAGATCTGATACTACCATGCCAACTAATTTCGGAGTCTGTTGTGATAGGACTACGAGAATAAAGCTTCTACGGTAATTAATGTAAAGCTCAATATTGCTTGTAATTTGATGCGTTGGTGCTCTCCTCACTACATCATATTTCTATACATTGGAAGCTAGGATAAGACGTTCTAGCTCCATAAAGACAGAATGCTCATAGATACTCGGCAAGTCTTTATCTTATCTACTCAATTAGAATCCTCTCTGGAGGCTTAGACTTTTCTTGCTATGTTTAATGCCTAGAAGAAGTATGGTCATGCTTTCTGGCTAACTTTATGGCTAGTTATAGCACAGTCAAAAAGAATGGTTGTAGCTATTTCTAGGATTGTTGAGTTAAAGTATATTGACATTTTACGTTTTTTTATTAAATGTTAAACAACAAAACAGCACAAATCTTATAGCACTTAACTGCTAAATCCTTGCTATGTTTTTAAAGGGCAGGAAGCCACAAAGTGTGATGATGATTCAGGGAACATTGCCATCAAGCACAAATGAGAATATTACTTGTGCTTTGTAAAGTAGCAATGAGAGCTCCTCATGTTCTGGCGCAGAAAGTCCATAACTTTTGTGTCTACAAAGCAGCAACTAATAACCCATCTAGATTTTTCAAATACTCATTTGAAGTGATTGTTTATTTGAGAATCCTAGGTGAGTTAGTGGGTTCAACAGTGCATGCGCGCATGGTTTTGATAGTGAATTTTTTTTACTTTTAAAGAATTGTTTGCATTTGTGGGGCTAATCACTACTAGGCTTTTCAACTTCCCATCTTCAAACTTTTCCTTCGTTTTTTAGTAGGGTAAATGACCTTTTGCCACCCAAGGTTTGCTTTCATGGACTTTTTCACCCAGAAAGTTTCAAAATACTACTTTCTCACCCAAAGTTTATATTTCGTTTACTATCTAGAATACACTTTCCGATTCGGCGTCCAATAGAGAGAAAACTCAGTCCGGTCTGTTAGGGCTTTTGAAGAGAGGATGTCAATGAGGCTTTTGGTGGTGGCAGGTTGGATTTTGGAGGTTGGGATTGATCGGAATCTGACTTAGAAGAGGCGGCTATGCATTACACAAATCGCTCGATTGCTGACAATTGACGAGGTTGGCAGGAGCAAGGCTTGAGAGGTTTTGGTAAGTGATGATCAGAAAAGAGAATGGTGGTAGCATGGGATCCCAAAGATGCCAGAATTGGCCAGCGATTGGTTGGAATATAAACATGTTGGGTGGAAAAATGGTATTTTGAAACTTTTTTTGTGGGAAAGTGTCATTAAGGCAAACCTTGGGTGTGAAAATTTCGTTTACTCTTTTTTAGTAGGACAAAATACCTGTTTATATGGGTTTGTTGTGGAAATTTCGTTTTTTTAACTTTTTTGTTAAACTTCTACCTGATATTCATGTGCTATAGCTCAACTTTTTGGCCATATTGGTTAGTTAAGTTTTTCTTTCACTGATTATAATTATAATACCTTTGTAACAACCCAATTTTGTTTATTTATAATGGGAAGACTTATGTATGTGGGGTTATATTAATGTCAAGATCAAAAAATTTATACATATATAAACTCTAAATTTGTTCAAGTCGATAGTCTAGGCCTTGACTTTTTGTTTCAAAATTTTTAGCTCCAAATCAGAAGTTCTTACTGTTCAATGCTTCAGATTTTTCCTCTCTTTACAGCTATCTTTTCCATTTGAATTCAGAAACAGTCTGCCCCTTTTTCATGACTTCAAATTCCTTCCAGCTATAGACATCATTCAAAGCTGCAATTTGGAATGGAAATTTATCTAATGAAATATTGACTCTTTATCGATATATTGTGTTATCGTTTAATGCTCATTTAGAAAATGGGTAATACTACATTTACAATTCAATCTCACAAATTTTCTCTTACAATCTTGACGATGTAGCTCGCAATTAGTCAGTTTACAAATAGATCTTGCCTGTTCGTTATGAGTCTCGCCTACCCAATTGCGAATGACGGGATTATGAGAAAAAATTTATAATATTAGGTTGTCAACCAATCTTTATTGTTAGTAAAATTATGTCATATATAAGTTTTATTTTCTCTTTTATTTTATCATAATTATACAACATATAAAAAAGCTTAGAGGAAGAATAAAAAGATAGTAGCACAAAATGAAGTGGGTAATTTACATTTGAATATAACATATCATGTATGAAAAGTTATTAAAGAATCATAATTTTCCAATTCAAACAAATTTATATATCACGAATAAACACATCAAATTAATTAACACAAAACAAATTACAATTCGAACCCAAACTTTCAAGTTTACTTTATTCAGTCCTTCCTCCAAGCATACAACAACAATGAGAACCCACCATTGCTTCCACATGACCTGGTTGACGAAGAACATGAACTTCTACCACCGTCACTGCTCTCCTCCGCCCACTGCAACACACTGGAACACGATGGCGACCGCGACAACGAACCCGAGGGCATCGAGGAAGACCCTAAAGATGACAAGTTCTTCTTCATCAACCTCTTCTCTGGACCTACCATCTCCGGCCACACCCCACCTTCACCAACTTGGAAAATAAACACACCATGCCCATTTCCACCGTTTCCATTATTACTTTCATTACTGTTGCCGCTATTAGCAGAGCCATTGTTGCTACTGACCCAGTTGAAAACGTCCCAAAAAAAGTCTACTTCAATGCCATCAACATAAATTCTCTCATGCCCTCTGAACTTCCACACTAACCTTTTGATGACAAGACTCGTTTGACCATCAACTTTAACTTTGAGAACTCCGCCGCTACATTCTACGCCAATTTCGTGTTTGGTCCCCAAGAAATGAACTCGAGAAATATAACTCTTGCGCCCAAAAACATGCTCTCTTCGAGACAAAAGAGCCGGTTCTGCAAGCTGGGGAGTGATGATCAACCCAGATCTTCTAGTAATATCATCTTGGAGATCGCCGAGGAAGAACTCTAGTTTCTCATTGCAGGAAATGGCAATGTAGAAGGAGGAGTCAGGCTCGGCAGAGTTCTGGGAGAATTCAGCGTGAGTGAAGTCCCAGTAAAGCTTGATTCTTTGGTAATGATGGTGGGTTAAGTAGATGGATTTGGAGCCGGGTCGGTTTCGGAAGAAGGAAAAGGTTGAAGGGTAGAGAGAAATGGTGATGGAGAAAGAGTCGGCGGCATAGATTGTTAAGGAGTGAGAGAAGAGGTTTTTGGACCAAGTAAGAGTGAGATAAGTTGGAGAATTGCATAACTGAGTTTGGTAAATACATGTGATGAGATTTTGAGGCACTTGAGAGTTGCTTGAGATTGTGTTGGGGTGGCTGAAACATGCTGGAATCATAGTGTTTTCAATCTTGTTGAAAGAAATGGAGAATTCTGAAGATTATGGTTTAAGAGAGAGATGGGTTTGAGATGATGATCATTTTTGGCTTTTGGTTTTTGAAGGATTTAGTTAAAGAAAAAGAAGAGGGGTAGGGTTTGATGATATGGGGAGTAAATGAGGATTTTGGAGGCTTTTGTTTTTGTATTGAGGCAGTCTCTCTTTTTGAGAGGCTTGTGTACATCATGGTGTAGCACATCCTTAATATATCTCACTACTAAAATTTTATATTCTAAATATATATTCTATTCGGACAATAATTGTTAGATCTCGGGTTAATCAAACTAACTTGAATAGACCTCTCACTAATCTTCCAGGGTCTTGAGACTGTTAGCTAGATAAGAGCCTCAGTGGTCACTTCTATTAATGTCTAAGGGACTCGAACTCAAAAGCTCGTAAAATCTCATTTTGCTATTTTATCATCAAACTATCCAGTAGTGGTTAATGGTGGTAATTGTTAAATTGCATATTTCGTTAAATAATATTAATTAACAATTTATTAACGTCATCTAATATTAAAAGCCATACAAAATTTGCCTAAAAAGTTAAATATATAGCATAATATGACATTACTTATTAGTTGTCATATTATTCATCCTTTTATTTAATAAGTTGACATTTTTATTTTTATTTTTACTCTTTTCATCATTTTATGTCACGTCATTTTATATATAAAATTTAAAAAATTCATATAACTACGACTCCATTGAAAAATAATATGGTTCATATTTTCTTAGTTGTATAGTTACTATAGTATCCTTTTTCTCATTACAAACTTTGGAGGAAAAAAAGCTAATACTAATATAACATGATTTTCACTACAAAAACATGTGAATAATGTGATGAACTTTCGCATAAAAACGTTTTCCTAAATTTTGCTTAAGTATAATATAGATTTATAAGAGAAACCACCACTCGATAGCCGAGTCACAATTTGACTCTTAGGTGTATTATTTAAGGGTTTTGAATTTATCCTCTCAACCCTTAATAGGAGTAGGCACTGGAAGTTTACTCGATCGTTACTTTTAGACTCGAAAGATTAGTCGGATGTGCGTAAACTAGTTGATCCACCTTTTCATTAAAAAAAAAAAAAAAAAGATTTATAACAGCAGTGTGGTTTGAATGATGATGATGATGATGAAACAGGAGAAAAAGGTATGAAAATGATAATGATAGCACCACCAGTTTGCAATTGCTCAGACGCTAAGCCTACAGTTCATGTTGCCCCCCCTTAATTTGCGCCCTCTCTCTCTCTCTCTCTCTAATTTTTTTACCTTTATTTAGTTTGCTTCTTCTTCCTTCTCTCTACCAGATGAGCTGTTTTGCACCTGAGAATTTGCGTGTGTCACAGTTCGAGATCATACCCCATGACTTTTTTTTTTTTTTTTTTTAATACTTTACAAAGACTAACCCATTATTTATTTCTTGTTTTCCATCTGAAAAGAGAAAGAGAAAGAGAAAGAGAGAGAGAGATGGGGCCTTGGGGAAAGCAGTGAGAAACCTAACCCACCATTTTTAAATTAAGGTTTTTGCTTCATTTTTTTAAGCCATCATGTATTGGTTAATAAGATATGTTTACTTTTTTTGGGTTGTTGGATTACCATTGGCTATATCAATAAGTCAATACAACCGTCAAACTTAACTCCTTCGTATATTATTTTTCTACTAGACTCTTATTGAAAACATGTTTTCTTCTTTTGTTTTTGCTTTTATTTTTTTTTCTATTTTCTCCAAAATCACAGCCTTGATTGGAACCACCACATGATATCCTTTTGGAATTTCTCGTGTTTTTTTTCAATTCCTTCTCCTTGATGTTTTAGTTGGACTTTCTTTTTTTCTACTCTTCACTTATGTACCAAAGAAGAAACAAACATTTTGGATTAGGATATAACTATTCAGATAACGTTAAGACGAAAATATTGATCCAATATTTTGAATGTTGTAGTAGTATTTATACAAATTTTATATAAATTTTTTTTTTGGGTAAACTTCATAGTTGTCTCTCCCACAACAAATCCCAATGGCTAAAGGGATTACCAGTCAACAACAAAAGAGAGAATTTTATTCGATTTTCATTTATTATACATTTATTTAAGAACTTTTTATATTGTAATGTTGCATCATTTTATATAAAATAATTTTTGTGTGTGCATATATATATATAAACTAACAATTGGCATCAAAATTCGAAGTTATATTATCATTGGGTTCAGCCAAATTATTTTTGTTTAAATACTACAAGTAGTTGGCGTTTAAAGTTTAGTTACGACATTTCATTTTCAGCCTTAATATTCTTGATAAATCTGTGAGTGCATATTAATGGGATTATTATCATCTTCTATATGAGTGACATTGGTGGTTGAAAACCATTTTTAGGTAGCCAAGTGGTTTGATAGGGATTCTTAAGTGTATTACTCAAGAGATCTTGAGTTCAAGTCCCTCCTTTATTGCTAATAGGGATAACCACTGGAGCTCTTATCCGATCGGTAGTTTCAAAGTCTCATAGAATTAGTTGAGGTATGCGTAAGCTTATCCGAATACTCTTGATAAAAAAAAAAAAAAATTAGTGGTTGGACAGTCCAAAGTTCAGACCGACCGATCTCAGTTGTTGCCTCCCAAAATTCTTGGACGTTTGCAATACTTTTCATAAATTTATTTAACTATACGCGAGGATGGATTTGAGTGAGTCGAATTCGTTGTATGTGTTGAAGCATACTATATACAGTTGTTTGTGCACCGAATAAATGCATCTTTACCTAAAAACTGAATATGCCTCAATCTATATCAGATTTGTGGATATCAATGATCTGCCTCAGAAAAAGAGCCACTTTGATTTTATATATATATTCTTTTGGGTAATTTGTTTATATATATATAATTCTTTTTTCTCCAATGCTAACCTAATTACGCGGTTAATGATTCACTCACCAAAATCTTTTAAACTCTACTCATGTCGACCTTGTCGATCGTAAGATAATTGAGCGATTAGGATTTACATAACCACACCTCTCAAAGAAAATTTCAATCAATCCCAACCATCAAAATTTAACTTTCTACCACCAAAAGACTCATCGATCTCCTTTCTTAAAAAACTCTAACAGTCTGGATCAAATATCCTCTCTGTTTACCACCAGAATATAAATTTAGATAATAAAGTGATATTTTAAAAGTCTATGGATGAGAAAGTGTAATTAAATTATTATTTGAGTGGCAAAAAATCAGTTAACTCACAATATCCTGTAAATGGTGACAATCATAAAATTTTATTTTTTTAGTATAAAAAATCATGAATAAAGAAGCGTAAAAAAAAAAAAAGAGTATGATGTAGGGTTCATTGGATTTATACTCTTTTGAAATGACAAGTAACATGTGTGGACAAATAAAGCCTAAACTAGAGTATGACAAACAAGATATTGGGGTGGTATTTAGCACACTGGGGGTTAATGGGTTTTAGTTGTCATTAAATTGTCTGGCAAGTCCCGGTTTCTCTGCCTAAGACTATGCTTGATTGCTCAAATTCTACACAACAACAATCAATTAAGTGTTTCTACATTTACTAAGAACAACTTTGTGTTTTTTTTTTTTTTTTGGTAACCTAAGAAATAAGTGATTATACATTAAGTTTCAGGGACTACAAACTCATACTTATTTACTTTATGAAAAAAATAAAAAATATCACAAGAGTATCACGCCATTCAATGAATTTCCCACCCAAAGTTTGCCCTAAAGGCATTTCGTACCAAAAAAGTTTGAAAATGACAATACCTACCAACAGTTAAGATCTGTTAGACGGTTTCTCATCATATTGTTAAGATATGTTAGTAAAATTCGTTTAAAGAAGGATAGGATGGTAATTTTTCATGCAGCCGAAAGTAGTCAGAAGAAATGGTGGCCAGCAGCAAGGAAAATAGCCCCCCAAAAAAACCCAATCAATCTACAAAGAATTCGGTCGGGTGCGATTCTGCATTCCCCAACCTCCACTGACCAAAACCCCCAAAGTTCCCAAGCCTTTCCTTCCACCGTTCGCCAGCAACCACACAAGCAAACAACACTTCAACAACAAGAATTCCAACATCGGACTCCAAAAGAGCCCAAGATCATCAACAAAAGAGTGGTAGCCTGCTAGGTTGGTTGGGAAATTTTTTTTTTTTTTTTTTTTGGGTGGGGGGGAGGATTCGAAGAAGGAATGGTGGATTTCCAATTAAATATCGATCCGAATCCAACCTCAAATATGGGTAGTCACGAGGAAGAACGGTGTGGCCGGATTTTGGCGATTAATAGGTGCATCGGTGTCAGGATTAGGTGGGTTTCAATGAGAAAGGGTCAGGAGGGTGAATGGAGGTGGTTTTGGGTGGAACAATGGCTGGAAAAGTGGCCAAAAAGCCGGTGGCACTACTTGCTAACGTGTGCCGCTAAAATGAAGAAAAAAAGGATAGGAGGAGTTAGGGTTTTTTTGTTGTTGTTTATATATAGGGGTAAAATGTCATAATTACCTTTTATCTATACTTAAATTTACCAAGTTAACGGACAGAATTAACGGTTGATAGGTAATTGTTGTTTTCAAACTTTTTGGATACGAAATTGTCTTTATGGTAAACTTCGGGGTGGGAGGATCGGCCTATATAAAATATTAGTTTCGACTTCTTAGAGGTTATATTTTTCTTTGCCCTTTTCCAGATCTGAACAATATTAATTAATTCCTCAAACTACATGTATGTTTAACGCCAATAAATTAGCATACAACCCAAAAAAAAAAAATAATAATAACTTCACGCCATGACATGACATGGAGGAACAGAAGAAATTAAAATCTAATATTCATAACACTGTTAATAATTATCAGATAACGAAAGAAATTAGCAAACTACATAATGCCTTATCCTAATTACTTTTTCCATTAATAATGAATTTAGATAAAAACTATTAATTAACTTTACCCTAATCTAAAGTACTAGTATTTGATTTCAAGACATTTATCCAAATTTTCTGCCAAATCCCATGTCACTTTTTGGAGGCAGATTCATGTTCAACAGCCTTTCTAAGCAGACTATCTTGTTCAAGAGCCATTAGAACAAGAGAATTACCAATGCCACGAGCCATGGCCAGCATAATCTCCCTCATTAGAGCTCCAAACTGGCTGCGATCAATATTTCCATTGCCATTCTCATCAAATCTCTCGAAAACGGTATCGTAAACATGTCCGATTTCTTGCGGTGGCTACTCGTATTCCAGGGTGAAAAATCTGCCAAACCTTTGACGAAACACATTGCGCGAAAGCTTGCCATTGTGACCAACATCTAACACTTGGAAATATTCGTCCACACAATTGTCAAAAGCATCTTTATTATCGACAAATTGTGTCACCGTGGAGCCATTAAGCACAGCTACAATATTCATTTTTTTCTTGATGAAGAGATTTGAGAGTTGTTTCTGTGTTAAGTTTTGTTCTATTTTTTGAGATTTTATGTGTATATAGATGAGTTTTAGCACTATAAATAGGAGTATCCCCAACAAAGCCAAGGAATGTGGGGAAATTTGTTTAAAATTTGGAACGGTGTGACCATGTCAATCAACTAATTCCTTTAAAAACTTCAAGGCCTCCTTTAGTATTAGGTTTGGCGGACTCATGGGGCCTCCCTAGGGCTGTCTTCAAATCCTTCTCCTTTGTTTCCGCTCCCGGGTCAGCCGTTCCTTGGATGAAGATTGAGTTGTTTTGGGTTCTTTTTTTGAGTTCCTTGTATTTTCTGTTGTTTTGCTAAGCACTGTTCCTAAACCTATGCATGTTGTGAGGTAGGTTTTTTTGTTTGGTTTGGTTCGTCTTGGCTCCTCTTGGTTCCAATATTTTGTTTTTGAATATTGTAAAAACAATGAGCAATACTACGCTGATAAACGAATCTCACAAACCCAACGTGACACTCCCACCACACTCCTAAGGGATGTCAACAGACACAAAAATTCATCATAAAAACAAAAATCAGCTACCACGTTGGAATTGTGAGAGAAAATTTATGAGATTTATTTATCAGCATATCTTTATCATATAAATTAACAATAATTTATCATAATATGAAAATAAGATGTTAAATAATATAAAAAATAATTAATAAATAAACACTATAAAAGCTAAAGCCAAAGAATGTGTGAATGATGAACAATTGTGTGTCTTGTTTGAATTTTCTTATTTTCTGGTTTGTCATTAATTTTGTATATATTATACAAAGCTTGTGATTTTATCAATTTTGGTTTATAAGGAAAATGTGTTGAAGCTAATTAATTAAGAATTGACATTTGGATCTGATTATTAAAAATAAACCATGACAATATAAAATATCTGTTAAGTGTATATAATTTTGGATTATTATTTAAGTCAGTTTTAAATACTTTTCATATTATGATTCTAATACTGAAAGATAATGTAATAAATTAAAATAAAATAAATGCAATTATATAAATTTGATTAGGGTATAATTGACAAAATAAAAATGTTACTAATTTAGATGTTTTATTGTGCAAATAAGTATTTTTGGCTTTTTTTTAAAAACAAATAAACCTAAATTATATTCATTCAGACTTCAGACCAAAAAAACAAACAAACCCTTAATTTGATGGTCTATTGTTTACGGGTACTATCTAAATATATTATTATTGTTGTTGGTGTTTGCTTAGAAAGCGGCATTGGGTTGGACTGGTCCAATGGAAATCGAGTTTAGTGTTGAAGCTAATAATAAACAGTGCCGTCCATGACCGGGAGAGTGTCCACCTAATCCATAAGCCAGTAATTGGGTTCTGTGCTCCATTTTTTCTATTCTATAGCTTAAACTCGGCCTGCTCTGTACCAGCACTAGTAGCACCTGCTGTGTCTACTTTTGTAACTACTGCTTCCTTTGTCTTGAAAGATAAAAACACAATCTTGATCAAAGAGAGCCACGGACAAATAAATAACCCACTTCAACTACTTGTTTATTTATTAATGCTAATGGCTCCCACTTTTTATGCCTACATTTTAGATTTTACCAGTCTTCATTAATGGACATCCATCATCTTTTCATTTTCTCCATTTTTTTTTTTTTTTTCTAATCATATAATGTCGGTATTAGTTTATACATACTTCAATTAATTTATTAAGATTTTATAATTATTTATCAGATAAGAGCTTTAGTGACCATCTTTATTAGTGCCTATAAAAATTCAAACTCAAGAACTCATGAAATCTCATTTTACTCTTTTACTATCAGATCACCTAGTAGTAGTTGTTTGTCAAATTTTATCCTACAAATTATCGACCAACTATTGTATCTTACACATGTTCAACTACATCCTCATAATGGCTACGCTCAGGGTTTAACTCTAAGTCACTTTGTGATATTATACAGAGTTAATAACAACTTTTTTGAGGTTCATGAAATAACATAATTTAACTCCAATAAATTGGCTTAGCAGTAAAAAAGATTTGTTCTTTTTATTGATTCTCTGGGTTCGAACATCTTGGGGTCATTAACTATATTTGTGACTTATCTTAGAATATTGAATTTGTAGGATACTCAATTGACTTCTAGGTTCGAACCTATCACATTTATGACTTATCTTGGAACATTGAGTTTGTAGGATATTCAATGGACCTTAAAAATTGGTCGAGGTGCGCACAAGTTGGTCCAGACACCTCGATCATAGAAAAAAATAAAAATAAAAATAAAAACTTAATTTCACATGGGCTATTTAGATTTAAATATTAATGTTGGGGCGGATCTCTCGTCCAGTCTGATTGCATTTCCTCTATTTCATGTGACAACTATTAGATTTAAATATTAATGTTAGGTTAATCTCTCCTACATCGAACCTGGTAATATTTCTTGTGTTTATTAGCGGACATCATCAATTAATTCTGTGTATTTTGATCCTAGTAACATGGACCAACATGGCATTTCAAAAGATAAAAAAAGTACGGTAAAGGGTTTGGTTTAGTGGTAGTTAAACTATGGGCTAAAACTAAAAGTCCAGGTTAGTCACTTGTATATTACGTATCATAAATTTCTTGATTATTAATGTTAGTAATAGACTTAAATATTAACATTAGCGTTGATCTCTCGTTCGATTTTATTATATTTCATTTGTTTCATTCAAGACGGTTAGATTTAAATATTAATGTTGAAGTCATTCTCTCTTTTAATCCAATTACATTTCACGTGTTTTATGTAGGGGTTATTAGACTTAAATATTAATGTCGTACGATCAAATTTGATTACATTTCACATGTTTCATATAAAGACTATCAAACTTAAATATTAATGTTGGGTCAATCTCTCTTTAGATTCATTAAATTAAACTTTAAAATCAAATTCATATTTCATACATTTTGGATAAGATCTATTAGATTTAAATATTAATATTGAAACTACTCTTACCTAACAAGTCGATTTCTTGGATAATAACTATGAAGTCTTAAAATAATCTTAGTTTGGAATTCAATGAACTTGTAGAGATACAAAAACCTAAAATTTGGTGAAGAGAGGAGCATAGGATCCCTACTTGTATTGGTAGAGTGTGTAATCCATGTGGCCAATCTATCAATGCATCCCAACCCCCAAACATTACACATGCTCCAAATAACATTTCTTCTTAAACTATCTTTCTCTGTGTATCAGTTTGGAAAAATTCAATTTCATTCTTCAACTCCATTTTTAGACTTTTTGTCTTCTTTTTTTGTTTTTTTTAATCTCTTTTTTTTTTATCATCGGAGTGTCTGAAACAGCTTATGTGTACTTCAATTAATCTATCATGGTCTTAGAACTGTCGACTGGGTAAAAGCCCTAATGGTCACCCCTATTAATGTCTAGAGAGATTTGAATTCAAGAGCTTATGAAACTTTATTTTGTTATAGTTTTTTTAATCCATTCTCACCCCTTCAACACTATACCCTACCATGCCCCCAGCGGGCTTTGGCATGTTTAAAGTTTAATTTATAATTATTCGTTTTCTGTTTTTTATTATTATTATTATTATTATTATTGTTATTAATTATATGTCGTGGTCTTATATTTTGTTTAGATAACTATCAGTCGATCGGAGCAGGATTATAAATAAATTTCTTTAAAAGAATAAGATTGATGAGAAGAGTAAATAGGAACGAGAAAGAGTTATGGCCAAACTAATTGATGATTTTTTCTTGTGAAATTAAAATTTCAATTTAATTGGAAGAAAATATTTGTAAAATGTGGGTATCAAGCTTCAAAAGTCCACTGCATAAGTCCACCATTGATGTAAACATAAAATGAAATAAACAGTCAACTAAATAATTTCATTATTAATCATGTATATATCGAAGACTTCGGTCCACTGCCTATAATTTCATTCGCTAAAAATTTANGATGAGGACTAAAGGTGTCAAGTTTTTTAATTTGCATTAATTATGGACTTCAAATAATTAATAATATGTATTTACTCATTTTAATTTACTTTAATTTAATTTAGTATTTTCAACAGAAACGTCTCTTTGTCTTCAAAACTTGTTTCTTAGGCAACCACTTTTTCTTATCTCAAAAAAGTATTAAAGACTGCTTTTTTAAATATCTATTTCTAAGTTGAAATAGAAAAAAAAAAAAAAAAGTGTCTTTTTAAGTCATAAAAAAAACTACCTTTTAGGACAAATTTAAATAGTAAAAAATATTCATTAAAAAAAAGAAAAAAAAAAGTTAATAGTTGGATAGATTTCCTTAACCTTTTTTCCCTTTCAAAAATATCTTTAAACTACCTCATCCACCATTATATATATATATATATATATATATCAACGCATGATCAGTCAGATCCGACCAATCGTGGGCCATTGTCGACGATAGTCGGTAGTATTGGCAAGATCCGACCACTAGTCTTGAGTAATTGTTTTCAAGTTCAAGGGTATATATATGTCCTAAAAATTTTCTATATAAAGATAAAATAGTCGATGAATATTTTTATAAATTGTTTTTAAAACAAGAGTATTATTGTCCAAAAATTTTAATAGCTAAGGATAAAATTGTAATAAAATTAAAATTATCAAATAGTTTTAAAATACCTAAGAAAATTGTGGTATTCAGATTACTACCAATATAACCAATAATAATTACTATTAATTTTAAAATATTATTAGATATTATTTAAAAACCAAATATTATAACGTAATTAATATAAGATGGTATTACCGTCAGTAATCTTATATACACTCCTCCTAAAGTTTATATAAAGTTTTAGAGACAGGACATTGTTATTGTATTATCACATCATTTAATGTATGTGTATCTATTTAACTAAATTTTTTATATTATTATATCTAATTATATTATGTTATGTCACATTATTTTGTAGGTAAATTTTTTTACAAATTCTATATATATATATATATATATATATTAAACGGTAAT